TTACACAACACATGGGAGCTTGTTAGATGAGGAATAAATAAAATCAAAAGGAAGGAAAGGGAGGTAGCGGAGGATATTAAAAACGGTCCTACTAAACTAATTAATCAATTTTTTGGTTATCAAATAGGGCTCTACTGTTTGGACGTATCTAGGTTAGGTGTTTCTAACAGAGGACGCATGGGCACCATCTGATTTTGGCTGTTGCCCTTAATAATACAAAAATGTGGGACTGCACAAAAAGGCTTTCTTTATTAGGTGTTTTATTTTTATAATGATATTAATACTCTGAGAATATAAATTTGATTCTACAAGAATATCAATAAAACATTATAAGTTAGACTCTCTACCAAAAGGTTTTCCTTGCTATACATGAGAAATCCATAAATAAATAAGTACATGTTTGGTGTTTGTGATTGTTATAATTCATGTATTGTTGGAATGCTTGTATTATTAAGGGCTAATACCACTACAACACCCGAACTATGACCAAAATGCCACTTGTGTCCTATTCTTTTCAATATTCCATTTATGTCCTTTCGTATGTTCTTTTTTGTCATTTGTGTCCTCCCGATTTCGTTGACCGTTAAAGATAACAGTTGACCAAACGGAGGTCAAACTATTGTTGACTTATGCTGACGTGACAAAGTATGTGGCATCCACATAGGCGCCATGTCATTGCCACATCATTTTTACTCAAAATTATAATAAAATTAAATTATGAAAATAAAAAATGATTAACTTCTAAATTCAACAATATTACTAAACTATATTTCGAGCTGTTTCTCAAGCTTCTTGTCAGATCGAAAAAAAATCCAGAAAATTTCAATATGCTTCTTCATCTCACCGCCACGTCAATCTCTGAATCTCCCACAGATGCACGCAAGTTTGGTCACTTGATGGGAGTGAGAATCGCTTGTTGCGGCAAGGCGAGATCAATGATGTTTTTCGATGAACTGGCGCTGCAGAATCTCATATCCACATCTGCATCTCCGAACATCCTCCTTGAATCGATGGGAGAACTGGTTGTTCAATCCAGATCATCCTCACTTCACTTGTAGAGCTTTAGCTTCTTGAAAACGAAGCAACTTCAGATTTAGGGTAAGGCTTGGTAGAAATATAGATGGGGGAACTGGTTGTTCAATCCACAATTTATGAACAATCCCTCCACCCTTCAGCTTCTCCGCCAGATTCAACATCTGCGTCTCCCCTTCCACCTCCAACGTCACCTACCAGTACAAGACAGAAACAATGTCTCCCCATTACAAATCGAAAGCCCTAAAAAATCCCGAAAGAAGAAACATAATTCATCGATTTGTGCATAGAATCGATTTTCTCCGGCCCCCAGTATCGCACCGTGTGCGCATCGTTCCTGTGAGACCTGATGGCCGCCACAACGACCTGGCATCCTTGAGTCACCACGCTTCCCATCGACGACGTATCGATCAGGTCTCGCCGCCGCCGCCAACGGGCTTCTCGTTCTTCGCCGGATCTGAATCCACCATCTCTTCAACAGCGACGGATGGAGAAGATCTGGAGCTCTCCGGCCTCCGATCGGATAGGGAGTAGTGAGTGGATGAGAACGGTGACTTCCAACGGAGCCGTCGATCTGGAGCTCGGAGAAGGAAGGAGATTGAATCAAGGGATTGAATCTGTCGATTGTGAGATGGGAGAGGAAAGGGGAAAGAAGGCCGAGTGGTTTTCTTTTTTTTGTTTAATAAATAAAAATTAAATTTAAAATTCCACGTTAGATGCCACGTCAACGCTGACTGGATTTTCTGTTAAATATTAACAGTCAACGTTGGTCAACACTAGCAGAAAAATAGTTCAGGATAGAAATGGAATATTGGAAAGAATAGGATACAAGTGACATTTTTCTAATAGTTCGGGTGTTGTAGTGGTATTAGCCCTATTATTAATAGGTGTATTGTTTAAATGGATATGAATGTATTTGGATCTATAATTAATATTAATAATTTTAAATTTTTGTTGAGATTGTAAATTATTCAAAATGAAGTATTTAAACAATCAAATCAAGTTTCAAATACGTACATTCTATTTCATTTGACACAAAATATTGTATTCTCTACAATACATGTATCGCTGATTACATACACATTCTAGAATCACAAATACCAAACATGAAAACGATCTCGTTGGATCATGGATGATACAAAACCCAAGAACAAGGTTGTTGCGATAACTCCTCCAAAATCGTCAAGAGCTGCATTGTTGTCGTGAAAGCCAACTGCTAAACTACCTTCCAACATCTTGACCGTCAAATCAATTGAAAATCCTCGATAACCCTTCAAAACTTCGATCTGAGATGAAACAACCCTCAAAATTGGCAGTGAAAGCTCTCAATAATAATAAAAAAATCCTTGTCAACTAATTTGTATTCGGGACATGCATGGTTGGCAAGAGAGATCTGTCAATATACATAGATGTGCAGCTAATATTCCCAAAATCTCATGTGTTTCAGTGTGGCAGGTTGCTTCTAAATGTCAAAGCAGAAAGTGATACTCTTGGACACATTGCAAAGGCTTCTCCCAAATATTATGCATATAATATTAATACTCAATGCTAAGCCTACATGTGCCGACATAATTTACGCGTATTAATTATCATCACATATATATATATATAGGAATTATGATTACGTGGTGGAATGTGTTTCACTTGCTTTCATTTGCTCTGTTGTCAAATGTGAATATGTATATATGGCCTGCCCCAAATTCCTTTTGAGTTGTTTGGCTGTCTCTGTTAGGAAGGGCTATTTGGTCCGGGTTTTTTGTTTTACTCGAAACCGAATCGTATAACCCGGATCGAGACCGGACCGGGACCAGATAGTAAATAATTCAATCCAATCCAATTTTTGGGTTTAGATTTGAGGTAAAAAACCGTTCGGGACCGGATCGAAAACTGGATAAAGACCGGATAAGAGAGCTCAACACCCAAAACTTAAGGGTAATTTGCATAAAAGGTCACAAACCTTTGCACTTAGTACAAAACTTAACCAACTCCTCACCCTTTCAATAGGCCACTCAAATCCCCACAAGCTCAATATAAAATCAAGACCAAATTGGGACCGGACCGGATCGGGTCAAGACCGGACTGTATCCAATCCAATCTTTGGTCCTTATATTTTCAAAAAGATCGGACTGGACCGGATCAATTTGGACTAATTTAACCGGACCGGACCGTATAGCCACTTCTAGTCTCTGTTATTCTGTCCACTAAATTGCGCGTGAAACCTAATTAGTCTTAAGCTAGGTACCACTAGAGTGTAGAGGGCTAGGTCTGGCTTCAGCGTTATCCAACACATACAAAAGTCACAATACTATAGTGCTACCACTGTTAAGGTTGTAAGGATACGGAAACTTCTATAGACACGTTATATTTTGAGCTTAAATTAGAGATTTAAATTGGAATCGTGAGATTTAAACACAAGAACTTTCAATTATTATAAGTTGTGCTATCATGTTGAGAACTACTTGATTCTAATAATTCGAGTTATTATAAGAGGTTCCAAAATATTTGCTATAACTTATACCATTCCCTTACATATTACAGGTGCTTTAGTCTTTATTAAGTATAGGGTTGTTCATCTTATGACAAAAGAAACCATTTTACCCAGGGACGGAGCCAGCTTGCTGTTGGGGCCATGGCCCCCCTAAGATTTAAAATCATCAGAATATCGAATGTGTTGCATAATCGGTGAATAGCTCAAATGGTTGAGATGTTGGTTCCTGGTTAGCGCATTGTAAATTGACCAGAGTTTGATCCATGTAGATGGGCATATTTTTACTCCTCTGATATCTACTTCACTTCCTCCTAGAAAATGTTTGATCTAATCCATAAATTATGTAACTGTTCTTCATTTTTTTTAGTAAACCGTAGTTGTTTGAATAAATTTCAAATAAGTGCGCAAATCCCAAGTTTGCTAAATTTCTTTATATCAAATCCTGTTCCACAAGATCCTATATCAGCTATACATCCTCCTTGCATTTATGTCCGAGACGTCGCCAGTGCTATGGGCTTTGGCTTATGTAAATAAAAAATGATTAATGGGATTGTGGCACTCCACTCGCCGCCAATGTGTAAGGATGCCGCCGAAAAGAATGGACACTGCTTCAATCTGCTGGATGCGTCGGATCCCGTATAACAAGCGAGCTTTTATTTTCTCATGAATTTAAAGAATGTCATGCTAAATTGATTTTATATCAAATCCTGTTCCACAAGATCCTATATCAGCTATACATCCTCCTTGCATTTATGTCGGAGACGTCGCCAGTGCTATGGGCTTTGGCTTATGTAGATAAAAAATGATGAATGGGATTGTGACACTCCACTCGCCGCCAATGCGTAAGGATGCCGCCGAAAAGAATGGACACTCCTTCGCTCTGCTGGATGCGTCGGATCCCGTATAATAAGCGAGCTTTTATTTTCTCATGAATTTACAGAATGTCATGCTAAATTGATTTTAATTTTTTATTTTATTGCATGACCGTAATTGTATTTTGATTGTAAAAAAGGTGAAATCTTATCCATGAATTATAATCACCGATTATTTTTTGTAGATAAATCATCGATTATTTGTGTAAATTTATAGAATAAATTATTCAACTTAATTTCGTTTATTCATTATGTCATGGGGAATTTTTTTTGTCGGTATTCAAAGGTAAAAAAAATTCGTCAGTCCCCCTAATTTCAAATCCCAGCTCTGTCCCTGATTTTACCATTGGATTGTACACTTGTTAATCAACATTTTTTACTTCTTTATTGTGTGACTTGACCTGCATAGGTTTTGTATTTCCTTCATTCCTTGCGTCTTAGTTGTTTCTCCGCTGGGAATGCCTATGGAAAAAGGTGCTTTATGTTGGGAACTAATGCGAGTCTGGTAGTGGAGAGGGTGATTGCTGGGCTGGGTTTGAACTTGGTGGTAATCATTAATTTTTTTTGGTAGGAAAGTGGGACGCTAAAAGGGTGCCCCTGCCTGAAACTTAGATTAAACGGGTTTGGAAAATACCCAGAATGTCATACAAGATCCAAAAAGCTAAACCAGAGTCAGACACCTCAAAATCATGATACCCAATGCTACTGGTATGGCCCTTGTTGGCCAGGAAATCTGCTGCCTTGTTCCCTTCTCTGTAGATGTGGGAAATCTTCACTTCCCAGCTTTTATTAAGGAGCTCCTGGAATTGCTGAACCAGGATACAGTACCTTTGCTCCATGTGATTACTGGCGGAGAGGATATTAATTGCTGTTGTGGAATCCATTTGAAGGAGGACCTTCCTGTAGCCGTTTCTCCACGCAAGCTGGAGTCCTCGGATGGCCGCCATAATTTCAGCACGAGTTATCGTGCACACTCCGAGGTTCTCCACAAACGCTCCCATGCATTTTTCCGACCAATCTCGAATCAATCCGCCGCCAGCAGCCGTCGATCCTGGTTGTTTCACTGAGCCGTCTGTGTTCACGCACACCCAGTCTTGAGGCGGTGGGATCCAAGCACACTGATGAGCTGATTTCTCTGGCACTGCTTCATTGATCGCCTTGTCATCTGTTAGAGCTTGCCTGATGGTCATCGTCCAGCAACGAATCCGGTGCGCCAGCACATGATCCTCCTGATTCAAATTATGAAAAACCTTCTTGTTCCGTCTTTTCCAGAGGTACCAAGCTGCTACTCCGAATAAGAGACCTTCCTTGTCCTCCCTGAGGTGCTTGTCCAGCCATGCTGCAAAGCCAAGGCCGCACGTGAGTAGATCATCATGGATTCCCAGATTATGCCATACCTATTGGGAGCTCGAACAGTGACGCAGGATGTGTTCTGCTGTTTCTGCCTCAGATCCGCAAGTCGGGCAGGTGTCAATCATGGTGAGTTTCCTTCTCTTCCGCTCCTCGTTCGTCATTAGCCTGTCATGGAAAACCAACCACAAGAAATGTTTTATCCTGTTCGGGCCGGCCCATTTCCAAAGCTGCTTCCAATGCGGTTGGGCGGTCATCTCTTCTGACTCAGGCTCGTCGTCACTCAGCCACTCCACGGCCGCCAAGTAGGCAGATCGAAGTTTAAACTTCCCATCCTGCTCCATACCCCAGGTTGTGATGTCTTCCCCCAGCCCCTCCTTAGGCGGATCAGTACCTGCAATCAAAGCAACCAAATTCGGAGTTAGATGTTGCACAATCTCATTCCACTTCCACTCACCTTCGACAGTAGCCATATCCGCCACTGTGGCATGCCAATTGATCTCCGCTCCATCGCCAGTAATCTGATCCCTCAGAACAATCCCCTCGGCTAGCCAAGAGTCCGTCCAAAAGTGGACATTACAACCTCCCCGAATGTCCCACACAATACGTTGCTTCAGAATGGGCCAGGTATCAACAATTCCTCCTCCAAAGCCTTGAGAAATTGCTTTTCTTCATGGTCATGACACCTGCAGCATTAGTTGTAAAATATTTCCCCTGCAGAATGCGAATCCATAGCTCATCTGATTGGTTAAGGAAAGCCCATCCCAATTTCATCAAGTATGAGAGGTTAAGCGCCCTTGCTGATCTTAACCCAAGACCACCTTCTTCTTTCGGTTTACAGATGGTTTCCCATTTAACCAAATGCGTCTTGGGATTGCCATTTTCAGTACCCCAGACAAAGGCTCTCACTTTCTTGTCGATGATCTCGCAAACCGAAATGGGGAGGACCGCCGTTTGCATGACATAGTTAGGAAGGGCATTCAATACTGAAACCGCCAAGGTCACCCGGCCAGCTAGAGATAAGTTTCTCGCCTTCCAACCAGAGAGGCGCTGATCAATCTTCTCCAAAACATACTTATAAGTATCCTTAGTGACTCTGCCATGGAGAACCGGAACCCCCAAGTAGCGACCCAAGTTACTTGTTTGTTTTATCCCCAACATGTCACTAATTCTTCTCTTCGTTTGTTCCCTGGTATTCTTGGAGAAGAAGACACACGATTTTTCTTTGCTGACTTGCTCCCCTGAAGCATCGCAAAAGCGGTTCAAGCAAGCCAATACTTCCATACTCTGTTTCAGATCCGCTTCAGCAAATAAAACCAGATCATCTGCAAAAAACAAATGGGTAAGTGAGGGCCCATCCTTTGATAAAGAAATCGGTTTCCAAGCCTTCCTTTCAATTGAGTCCTTGATGCAATGATTCAGTCTTTCAATACATAAAGTAAAGAGATAAGGTGAAAGAGGACATCCCTGCCGAAGACCCCTGGTCGGTTGAAAGGAATCTGTACAACCGCCATTCCAAAGAACCTGGAAACTAGCAGTAGTCACACAAGCCATGACAAGCCGGACAAAATCGTTCGGAAGACCAGCCGCCCCAAGTGTAGCTTCTAGGAATTTCCAATTGATCCTGTCATAAGCTTTAGCCAAATCGATTTTCAAAATCATTTGTCCTTTAGCCCCTGTCTTGCGAGACATAGTGTGTACTACCTCCTGCAAGATGATAATATTATCTGTGATATGCCTCTTAGGAACAAAGCTTGTCTGGTTCTGGTCAACTAGCTGCGGCATGAAATTCTTTAACCGATTGGCCAGACACTTCGCCAAAGCCTTGTAACTGACATTGCACAATCCAATCGGTCTAAACTGAGCCATCTACTTCGGAGTCTCCACTTTGGGCAGCAACACCAGCAAAGTATCATTACACAGCTTAATCCGATCAGGGCTCCTGAAGCAGCACACAATGTGTTCATGGAAATCTGCTCCCACTTCCTTCCAGCACTTGTGGTAGAAGGTAGCGTGAAAACCATCCTTCCCAGGTGCCTTCAACCCCCCCATTTCTTTGATTATCTTGTAGGTTTCCTCCAAAGTCGGGTTGTCCGCTAGGTGGGAAGTCATAGCTTCGGTAAGGGCGTTGAAGTTTGTCGGAATCTGTTGCTGCCCTATGCAATCATCCAGGTACAAATGAACATAGAACTCCCTTGACATCAACTTCAACGTCTCTGGATCCTCAATCCAAGTCCCATCCTCTGCTTGAAGCTTCGTTATTCTGTTCTTGCACCGTCGTGTCAAGGCAGCAGTGTGGAAATACCGAGTATTTCTGTCTCCGTTAACAATCTGATTGGCCCTCGACTTCTGTAACCACAAGAGTTCCTGCTGCCACAACGTCTGCTCGAGCTCTTCTCGGATCTGTCCCTCGCGTCTTAGAGAAGCTTCAGTTGCCGCCGACTCATTCTGGATTTCCAGCCTAGTAAGTTGTTTGGAGAGTTTTGCTTTCCTCCAGAATATGTTGTCGAAAACCTCCTTGTTCCAGCGCGTAAGATGAGCCTGCAGCTCTTGCAAAGACAGCAAACAATCCCTTCCTCGGGTCCACGAGGCCTCAAGGGTAGAAGAAAAGTCTTTATGGGCTAGCCAGGGCACTAGGAAACGAAAAGGCCTTACCTGCCTCGGGGGAATATGATCGTTGTGACTGCAGATAAGAATAGGCCTATGATCCGAGCGGAGTTTAGGCAAATGGGTAGTTAAAGTGTCGGGGAATTGTTTGATCCACTCCTGGTTACATAAAGCTCTATCTAGCCGTTGGAAAAGCTTTCCATTGCTCCAAGTGAACTTGGGACCCTTGAAGCCTACATCAATCAGGCCGCAATCCCTGATACACGAATTGAAGCTAGCAGCTCGAGAGGGATTATACTTTGCTCCTCCTACCCGCTCGGACGGACAGGTCACCGAGTTGAAGTCACCCGCTAGAAGCCAAGGTCTCATAACGTTCTGCTCAAGGCGGCGCACAGCAGTCCACAGCGGTCGCCTGTCTTGTTCATTCGGCTTGGCATAAACAGCTGTCAAAATGACTGAAAAATTATTGCGACCTGTACACAAGAAATGCAGAAATTGCGAATCACGATCAAGCTCAGTGATAGAGAACTCCGCATCCCTCCACAGCACCCAGATGCCGCCAGAGAAACCAATAGCATCAACAAGGAAGTACTTATCAAACCCCATAAGCTTAATAACATCTTCCGCATCCTTGCCACTGATTCGTGGCTCCACGATGAAGACAAGATTTGGCTTATGGGCAAACATATATTCCTTAAAGGTCGAGAGAAATTTTGGGTGTTTAGCCCCCCGACAATTCCAACTAAAAATCTTAAACATGGATAAAAATAAGGGGAGAAAGGAGATTCAGACTTCCCTGACAAGGTGCGGCCGCAACCCAGAGTTCAAATAATTGCAGCCGCCGCCGGAGCCATTACTGTCTCCTGCAGCGCCACAGCCGGAATCTGTCCCTCCTTCGCTTCGCTATGTTGGGGATTTGGGTTTTCTGACATTTGTTCATCGACCCCTTTGTAATTCGCGTCGCCTTCGCCCGGAATTGGAATCGCTTGAAGTTGGTCCAGGAGCTCTTCCACCGATTTTGGATGGTTCTGGGGTTTCTTCTTATGATGCGGTCTTATGCCATCCCGCGCGCTCGAGTTCACGCAGTGGCTTGACTTCGATACCCGGAGGCTATTGCCCTTCTTGATATTCGCTGGGGAGCTAGCTTCCATTGATTTCTTTCTGAAATGTTCTCTGATCGAGAAGCTTTCCCGGGATTCCTTGGCAGGTGACACCGACGGGGCAACAGCGCAAGAGAGGATGGGCTTGTCCGATGCAATAGTCAGTGAGTGATCCGGGTCAGCTTCGGTGGGCCTCTCTACAGATTGGTCTTCCATTGTTTGGTCCAAAATTGCTGTCCATGTGGGCTGAGATGAAGAAGCCTGATTCTCTATAGCTTTGGGCCCAACAATCCGCCAGGCTTGAGAAGGGCCCATTTTTTGCATCTCCTTGGACACTTTATCTATCACCTCCTCTCCTTTCCCCTTCTGCGAGATACCCTTTCCTTTCTTCAGTTCCCCTTTCTGTTCCGACTTTCCTTTCTTTTCCTTAGCTTCCACGATTTTGTTGCCCCCGCTTAGCTCATTCTTCCCCATTTTAGGAGATAATTTACCTTGACCACCGGTTTTGCCCGTTAGATTGCCTTGAGAGGCGCCTTGATTGTTCGGGGCTTTCCTTGTTTGTTTGCGAGATTTCCTCTCTACCTGCATCCAAGGACTGTAGCCTGCCGGCGGTTCTGCCGACGAGTTTTCCGGCGGTGACTCCTGATTAATCGCTTGAATTTGTGGCTCAGCCGTCGGCGGCTGTATCAGCGTGGGGCAAGTCAATTCAGTGTGTCCGATGTGGCCGCATTCGAAGCAAATCTCCGGTAGATTCTCATACACCACCTGTTGCCAAAAGCCATCGAGCCGAATGCGAGTTTTCAAGGGCTTGTTCATGTCCAGTTCAACGGCAATCCGAGCAAACTTGCCTCGCTCCATATGCTCTGTATGATAATCGAGCTTCACCGTTCTTCCCAACAGATTTCCCAACGCGAAGAGTACTTCCCTATGGTAGAAATGGATCGGAAGCTCTGGTAACTGGACCCAAGCTACCACCGATCGATGAGGTTTATCTGATGTGCGGAAGGTGTACGACCATTGATGGACAACTAAGTAGTGATCTAAGATCACCCAAGGCCCGCCAGTGAGCGCATTGAGGTAGTCTTTCTCCTCACTGAAATTGACCAGAAAGGTGGAGTTGTTCAGGTCGAGGATCTCCATCTTCCCGCTAGGCTTCCACTTCCAGCGTAGCTGCGAACACAGGTATTGGTAGGAGATAGTCCGGCCCAGAAGACGAGCTACCAGAGTGCGTTTCCAAGGAATACAGAGGCGTTCCTTAAGCTGTGGTGAAACTTTTAGTTCCGGCTCTCCCTGATAAAGGCCAACCTGCAGGTCATGTTCACCGATGAATTTCCACGCCTGGGTTTTGGACGGAGATTGCCCCAGTGATCCTGCCAGTGCTGATTTGTAACTCAAGAGGGCCATCCCTTGCGGATTTTTCACTGACTTAGACGGAGACAAGGAAGGCGAAGGAGGGGGGTCTGGCGGCCGTCCCGAGAGGAGCAGCGCAGCCGCCGGCGTGTTGCAGTTGTTCAAAGGTTCAGAGAGCATTTCAGAGCTTTTCTTTTTGAATTCTCTTAACTTTTTTTGGTAATCATTAATTGATGAACTGTGTGGAGCTATCTCTAGCTGATTTTAAATGATGAATTAATTAAATGAGCTGGGCTGGGCCAGAATTAATCATATGTCAAACAAATAAGTCGTCCCCACAATGAAGTGGTTGGGCCGAAAATCACTTGCTTTACGCAAGGAAAATTAGGCCTGCACATGTTAACTGGAGCGGGGAGCCATTTTCCTTATAGACCACAAGCAGAGAGCCCGACCCATTGGTCGGGGTGTTCCTTATCAATGAGTATCCATTTCTTTTTTTCGGTAGTCGAGTGGTTCGTCCTTACATCCGAAATTAATGGAATTGATTGTAACCCTAATCAATTTCTTATGGATCAGTCTAATTTTCACTTTTCATAAGTAATCTCTCGCCCGATGTAATTTTTACCCTTTCACACTTGAGCCTCGTAGACCATTTTTTTTTACAGTTGATTATCTATGTTTGCGTGCGGACTTTCATGCACGATCGGGGTTGTTTGTTGCTATAGAGGTCTGGAGAGTTGCATTGGTTTGAGTTAGGTTTGCTTGGGGACAAGCAAACTGTTAAGTGTGGAGGGATTTGATAGACCATTGATTGCACATGTTTTTACCCCTATTCTTGAGCCGTTTGAGATGTTGATTATCGTGTTTTAAGCCGATTTCACGCTAGGTTGTGCGTTTATGTCATATTTCAGGGCTTAGCGTTGGCATCGAGGCGAAGAAACGAGTTTCGGGTCGAAAGGAGCACGTTTGGGTTGAAGTTTGCTGGAGGAGCAAAATACCCGGCCATGAGCAGAAATACCCGACCGGGTATTATTTGGAGCAGACGGGGGAAAACATGTTTTGGGCGTTTGAGAAGCAGAAGGGGCCCGGGCAGTAATCAGAAATCCCCAGTAGGGTATTCTTGGCCCAGGCCGGGGATTAACCCCCTGTCTCACGCGGTGCGTTTTGATAATACCCGGTCTCCACCCAAAATACCCGACCGGGTATTCAGGCCGGGGATCGCGACATACATCTTCTTAAGGGAAAAGAAGGGCAAAAGTGAGGGGTTCCGAGTTTGAGAGAGAAAAAGCGATACCTAGAGAGAGAAAGTGACGAACCTGATTTTGCAAGTGTTTTTGATCGATCTCCATCACCATTAGAGCCCGGCTTGAGCTTGGAGAAGAGCTGATTGAGTGCCAGAAGCAGATTCTCATCCTTCACAGTATGGTTTCCGCATCTGAGCTAGATTTTCCGTCTCTCTCTATGGAGTAACTTTCTTATTCACCTGGGTATGAAGAACCCTAGATTTGTATGTTAGGTCTGATTGTATGAATGCAAGTACAGACTTAGTGATTTGATTATATTCAATTAAGGTTTGATTTGTTGAATGGCATGAATCTTGACCAAATTCCTGTTGTTTCTGCTTTAACCTAGAAAGAGAATATCTGCCTAGGTCGATAGAGCACCCTTGATTGAAGGTAGTGAATTGGTGACTTTAGTCGAGGAGTCAATTCACTATTCTGTACCAAATTTACTTCGGTAGTGGAGGTTTGGTTCGTTAGGGCCTCAATCTGTGTACTCCAGTGGAGGTTAGTCGCCCGCTGGGGACTCAGGTTGAGAGGGTCTGGAGACCTTTAGTCGAGACTGCAGACTGTTTAAGAACCTCCCGCACTATCATTGAACTTGAACTTGGTAAATTACAATCTGGCTTAACTGCAGTCTAGGGGGAACCATATCCGGGTGACCTCTCTCGACTTGAAAACAACCTCTTAACTGCTTTGCTTGTTTGCTTGTTTGAATCTTCACTACACTTTCACTGCTAAATAATAAGAATTCACGGAGTAGTCATCACACTTAGGACCCGGGTTGACATTAAAACCCAAACCCGCTATACTACGCTTTAGGAGGTGGTTACACTTGGCCATTTTCTAAAGTGACGGTAGGAGCGAGTCAAGTTTTTGGCGCCGTTGCCGGGGACGGCTGGGTTGTTGAAGAAACGTGGTTTCTGTTAATTTAGCTTTTCTTTTTAGCATTGTTTGTTTGCTTTGTCACACTTGTGCCTTCACGTGTTTGCTACTTGACTGTGTGCAGGTAGTGCATGACCCGTAGCCAGTCAGGAGGTTTACTGCCGTTGGATCCGGAGCTTGAACGCACCTGTCACCAACTTAGGAGACAACAGTGAGCTAGACTGGTTACGGAGGAGCGCATAGATGGCCACTTGAGCAGTGATTCTGAGGACGAGTACGAGATGGAAGGCGAACATAACCCGCCCCAGGGGATACCTCTCCAGGTTCCCCCGGTGAATTAGATCTTGGGGAACAACCCCATACCCCAGGTAGATGGGGTTCAACATCAACCACCACCGTCGGGGCCCACCTTGGAGTACTACTACACTCCACGGGTCGCTGATATCCGCCCTGTCATCCTCTATCCACCCATTCCAATGAACAACTTCGAGATCAAGCCATGCTGGATTCAACTCATTACATCCTCTATCCAGTTTCTTGGCTTGAAGGATGAAGAGGCAAGGGTGCATCTTTCCCGTTTCCTGCAGCTGACGAACGGGTTCAAGATGAATGGTGTACCCGATGATGCGATCCGCCTTCAACTCTTCCCCCATTCTCTGGCGGGGCAATGCAAAGAGGTGGCTAGAGACCCAGCCCCCATTGTCCATTACTTCTTGGGACGATCTGGCCAACAAGTTCGTGCACAGGTACTATTCGGCATCGAAGACCATAGAGATCTAGCGGGAGATCACTCACTTCCGCCAAGAGCCAGATGAGTCACTTCGTGATGCATGGGAGCGGTACTCGGGATTTTTCTGGCAGTGCCCCCATCATGGGTTCAGCGATGCATTCACCGTGGGGAACTTCTACAGTGCTCTCTCTCTCTGGAAAGCTAGAGGGTGATTGAGCCTCTATGCCTAGGAGGGGATATTCTCACTAAGACTCCACCCGAACTGAACCAGATGATCAGTACCTTGGCTGCCAGAGATCATTCCTGGGGGCAGAGCACTAGAGGCAGGAATTCCCGGGATCGTGGCGTGCACGCCATGGAGGCCAGGTCCGGGCTAGAGCGGGAGGTGGCCGAGTTGGTGCAGACATTGAAGCAACCCAACAGTCTTATTCCAGACAGAGGTTTGGCCGTACCTCCAGTAGCTCAATGTCAGTGGTGTGAGAGCTCGAACCATCTGGTGGAAGACTGCAAGGCTATGCGGGAGTCTTCTACACCCCAAGAGCAGTTGGACTTCATCGCCAATTCTCGGCGCCTTGACCCATACAGTAATACATACAATGAGGGGTGGCGCCAGCATCCCAACTTCTCTTGGAATAGCAACACCACTAAACCACCTGGTTTACCAGCACCAGCAGGTGGTTTTCAGCAGAGGCAGCCCTTCCAGGCTAGACAGGGGCCAGTTCCACAGCAGCAGCCTTACCAGCCGAGGCAGGGGCAACCAGTCCAGCAGCCCCAGCGTCAGTATGCCCAGCCACTAGCAGCTCCAGCTCCAGATAACCAGATGACCGAGCTGAAAAACATCTTAGCGACATTCATGACTACCAGCTACGCCAATTTCGCCAGGATTAACCATAACATCGCCGCGTTGGAGGAAGGACAGAGGAAGCAAGGTGCCATACTGTAGGACCTCCAACATCAGATTGGAGGAATAGCCCGCCAGAATAATACCAGGGCACCGGGAACTCTGCCTGCCACCACCACCCCTAATCCTCGCGAGCCTCACCAGCAGCTGGATGCCATCTTTACCAGGAGTGGCAAGCCAACATCGGCTGTACCTGCCCAGGCCAGGCAGGAGGAACTACTACATGCTTCAGCACTTCCAGCCGACGATGCAGAAGTGAGGGTGGAGAAGGAAGCCCCTACTCCCAAGCCACGACCAGTGGTTAAGGAGCATGTACCCCAGCTTCCCTTCCCCACTCGCCTACACAAAGGCCGGTTGGAGACTGAGTTTGCCAAGTTCATGGCAATGTTGAAGCAGGTCAACATCAGCATGCCGTTCGTGGAGGCACTGTCGTAGATGCCCAAGTACTCTAAATTCATGAAGGATCTCCTCACCAACAAGAAGAAACTTGGGGATCTCTCGACAGTGCTGCTGAGTGAGGAGTGTTCTGCCATCCTGCAGAACAAGCTGCCCGAGAAGCGTAAAGACCCAAGGAGTTTTACTATCCCTCTTGTTATTGGCATCATGCATGTAGGAAAGTCCTTGGAGGGCCTAGGCGCTAGCATTAATGTCCTTCCCTATCATTTGTTTAAAAAGCTAGACCTAGGTGAACCTAGCCCTACTAGGATGAGCATTCAGTTAGCTGATCACTCTATTGTGCATCCTAGGGGTATCATAGAGGATCTGCTTGTTAAAGTAGGTGCATTCACATATCCTGTTGATTTTGTTATTCTGGATATAAATGAGGATGTGGATGTGGATGTGCCTTTGATTTTGGGGAGACCATTCCTCGCCACCGCCTAGGCACTTATTGATGTGCATAGTGGTAAACTGATCCTGCGTGCTGGGAATGAACATGCTACTTTTTGTGTGTCCGAGGATGGGAAGCGCTCCCATTTGCTTGGTGAATTAGATCACTGTGATATGCCTGTTGTCCCACCTATTCATGATATTTCTCACCAGGTGCACGAGCCTGTCGTGCACTCTCCTGCATCTCTCATTTTGCAGGATCCCCCTCTCACTCCTTCGCCGCCACTCCCTCCAACCTCACTGCCAAATAAAAAGATCAAGGAGGAGTGGCGGCCGAAGCCGCAGGTGTCTAAGCCTGCTCGGAAGAAAGGTGGCGACCACTATGAGCTGGTCCCACCTCCTGCACCACAACCACCATGGCCATCCGAGTACTCACTCGCTTGCATCCTGCCGGATGGCCAGGTCGAGCTGACAAATGCTGGTGGTTTCACCCTTCGGGTGCATGGCCACCATCTGAAGCTGTACCTCAAGAGCGATGTGGATCCGCTCTTGGAGG